CATACAAATTGTCTTGCTGCATTAGCAAATATGTCTTCACAATTTCAAAATTTACATACATATGTTTCACAAAGAATTGTTTCTTTATTTAATTTACTTGCACGTAAACATTCAAAAACATTAGATCTTATACAACAACAATCAAAACAACAACAACAGCAAACATTAACAACAAATACTTCAAATGATAATATATTTAATGAATATGCACAAGATTTAAGCATTATTGAAGATGTTATGAGAATGGTTTTAGAAATAATTAATTCTTGTTTAACACATACACTTCAACATAATATTAATCTTGTTTATACATTACTTTATAATAGAGATATATTTGATAATTATAGAGCACATCCTAGTTTTCAAGATATTTTACAAAATATTGATACTGTAAGTTCGATTATTAGTCGAGATTTAGATTATCGTTAGTAGCTTCGAGTTTTTAAGAACTTATTAATCATTTTTATTTTTGACAAATGATCTTACCAATTGAGAACTTCTAAAATTCTAGCATTTATTTTGTAGTGCCACAATAATAAAACACATATTCATGCATGATTTTTTTTTCCTTATTTTATTAGACAAAAAACACTGACTTGATATTCTGAATAGAGTACCATTTAAATATTGTATTTAGTCTGAATTTTCGTTCTTAATGGGTTATTATAATCAACGTTGTTTTTATATTTAGGTTATTATCTATTTTGCTGAGAAAGTGGATAGACTTGAACAACGTTCAACTGAATATGTTAAAGAAGCTTTAGAAATGGGCGCTAAACAATTCCCATTGGATCGATTGAAAGTAAATACCAAGCAAAAATTATCATATTCTAATTTTTCATATTTTTTTAGAAATTTCCTGAATTAAAATTTAAATATGTTGAAGAAGAACAACCTGAAGATTTTTTTGTACCTTATGTATGGACTTTAGGTATATATTTCATATTGATTTATCTTTGATCTATGATTACAATTTATTTAGTTTACAAATCTTGTAATCTTTATTGGTCATCTGAATCAATTCTAATATTCAAACAACAACCATTAATTTCACAGTGACAACATTTTACATCTTTGTTATTTATTAAATTAGGATAATATCCTCGTATTATATACATATGTGTAACTCTTGCTCTCATTTTCTTTTCTTTTTTTTGTTCTCCAGTAGTCGCATGGTTTTACAGGTGTGTTTCTAACTATATGTTTATCTTTTCTTTTTTCCCTTTATATACACAAAAACTTAATTATCTCTTTTATTCATTATCAAGATGATGATGTATTCCAATTTGAGGATAAAAAGAATTTTAGATTGTAAAATTGAATATGAGTCATTCAGCTGATGATCCAGATGCTTTGGTAGAAAAAAATATTGATCTTAATCATATTACAAAAATGAGTAAGTTTAATTCTTTGATTTATAAGTTAACAAAAACGATGGAATATTGAGTTTTTCGTCAGAAAAAAAAATTGTCCGAAATCCGAGAGTACTGTTAACTGAGAAAAATAGTCTACTTGTATAAACATCTCAGCTTGATCCAATCGTTAAATAATTGTTCTGTGTTGATTCATATTTGTATGTCTACGAACTGCATGTTTAATTTTAACTTAAATTGAAATATATACTTTTTCTTTTTTGTTACTTGAAACAATTATTTAACTAAGGATTAAGTTGAAACTCTATACATTTTAATGAATACTCTGAGTCCTAGTAGAGATATAACAGTTGTATGATTTTATTCGAGTGTATGAATAATTTTGAATTCTACTGTAAATCATAGTCAACACTATACCGTACGATAAGAATGTCTAAATATAGAAACAATTAATGATTTAAGGTACAATTGTAGTTTAAATATACTCTCACTCACACCTTCATAGAGGTGTATGCTAATCAATGCATCAGCTTACATGTCTATACTTTATTTACCGAAGCTTCAATAAAGTCAAACAATTGATTGAAATATTTGATTTAGACAAGTGTTAGATTTAATTGAATAAATCATGTTTATTATAGGTCATCAGATGCATGTTCCACATTCAATAACAGTTGGTCCAGTTCGATCCACATTTCCTCGTATTCATCCCGATGATGATCGAGTACCAGTTCGTATGGAAGTACCTGATCGACTTCGACCTGGTAAATAAATATGACATATTTTCTTATTTATTTGATTACTAATCTAGGTGGTAATGGAAGTATGATAGCGCTGAACGATACGGATTTTTTTACAAACGATGAATCAAATTCATTATCAGACTCTTTTATTCAACAACCATCACTGCCACCAATACTTCATCCATCAGATATTAGAACTACAAGTGATGATGAGGATACATCAGTAAATATTCAAACAGGAGATCAAGCCATTACACTCAGTCAATCGTAAATATAAATCAAGAAATAAACTAAAAAAAGAAAATTTATTGTTGTCTTTTTTTTTTTAGATGGCATGTCGAACCATTTCATGGTATTGATGATAAAAATATCTTAAATAAACTTCAATTACTTCAAAATCGTGTGCGTTATATTGAAGAAAGATTAGCTAGACGACAGCATCGCGATCGAATTTTTTATTCATGTGTTATTGGTTATTTTCTACTTCAAGCTTTACTTTCTGTTCGCCGTTCAATGCTTAATTAAAACGTCCCTAAAAATTATTATTTTTTTCCGATTTATTTGCTAAGGCATTAAAAAATAAAAGTTGATTTTCTATTTGATTTTTAACCATTCTAGATTTTTATTGTATAAAATGAGTATTTATATGCGAGAGGTAATCAAAAATATAATGTATTTCAAGCATTTACTAATTCATTTTTGAATTAGGATTTAACACGTAATGAAAAAATTCAACAAGCACGACGAATTCTTAATGAAAATAAATATTCACTTGATGCATGGGCGATATTAATTCAAGATGCTCAAGTTTGTTTTAAAACTTCATCTTTCATAGAAGAAGATTTTCTTTTTATTCAAATTTAAGGATAAAAAAATAGCTGAATCAAGAGAATTTTACGAATCATTGGTTACACAATTTCCAACATGCGGTAAATTTTGGAAGATTTATGTTGAATCTGAAGTATATATTTAATAAGTTAAAAAAAAATAAATTATTATAAAATATAAATCTTATTCTAGATAAAAGGACGAAATTATGAAAAGGTTGAAAAGGTATGTATTTGAAATAGTCAAAAAAAAAAAAAAACCAATAGCAAACTTGAGTTAGCTATAAAAGAAAACCTATCTTTGTGTAAGCGTGATGATGTTTATTTCACTAGCATTTAATTGAAATACTGATTGAGGCCAAAGATAAGACATAGGAACTAATATTAATTACAATAGTTGAGAAAAGTCTCATGTGAATGTAGGCCATAAAAAAAAAAAAACTATTTCGCATTTTCCAAAATAGTACAAATACTCTTTTGAAACAATTTTATGATAGTTATCCAGTCTTATCTAGAGGGCTGCAGGGTGCAGGATTTTTATAACCTGTAACCTGCCCTGTAAATTTTTTGTAACCTGATCCTGCCCTGCCCTGTGAATATTTTTGCGGACCCTGCCCTAAAACTTTCTAATGTAACCTGTAACCTGCCCTGCCCTGCCCTGCTAATTTTAAAATAGAGGAATATCCAAAATTTCCTATCAGTATTTATAGTACATTTAATTGTGTGTACTTCAAATTTGAATTGGATAAAAATAACGCTTAATTTCTTCAAGATTACTAATAGAAAAATATCGAATAAACAAAACTAGCTGCAATCTATCATAGCCGATCATTTCTTATATTATGAGTGCTTTAGTTTCGGTAAATTCATCTTTCTTCATACCTAATTTTTTTAAAAGATACCGGAAATGTTGGTTGTTCAAAATTAATCTCAGGTTAACAGGTTACGATATGGACAACCTGTAACCTGCCCTGTAAAAATTTCATAACCTGGCCCTGCCCTGCTCTGCTATTTTCGCAGCCTGCCCTGTCCTGCCCTGTCAGGGCAGGGCAGGTTACCTGCATCCTGCAGGGCTCTAGTCTTATCCCATGAGGAAATTTCGAACTCTAAGAAGATATTTGTAAGTAGGCAAACATTTGAGTGAATATTTTGTGTGAAAACTTTCGCCCCATAGATTACTTCGGATTATTGTGCTGTGAAGTTCTTCAAACTCGGTTTTACTTACATTGAGTCTATTGTGTAATTATCTGATTGTATTTTTCTATTTAGCTTTTTCAACGATGTTTAATTAAAGTATTGAATATTGATTTATGGAAATGTTATTTAAATTATGTTCGTGATACCAAAGGAATATTACCGTCGTTCAGGTTGGATTTTTTTTTATTGATTTATTTAGTTTTTATTTTAAATAAATCGAGTTTAGATAATAATATTAATCGAGATAATAGTAATAATCGTGTTTTGTTTTTCATACCTTACATTTGTTATACATTCTTTAAAAATAAAAAAAGAAAACAATAAAATAAAACGTCTTTGTTTTATCTTTAATTATATTTTCATAATATTTCGATCATTCTTATATATCTATTTTATCATTGATATTGTCCTGCACATTTACATGCTCCTTCTCAAAATGGACACAATGATACTTGTCACAGTATGTAGATTATTAATCTACTTTCTTATTGAGAAAAATCACAAATCGATTATTCTTTCGTGTTTTTTTCTCGTTCAGGTTTTAATTAAGAATAAGATTTGTATTTTTTTTTTTCTTGACTTTTGTTCAGAGAAAAAATGGCTCAAGCATACGATTTTGCATTGGAAAAAATTGGAATGGATGTTTATGCATATACTATTTGGAATGATTATGTTACTTTTCTTAAATCTGTGTAAGTTTGATAATGAAAATAAGTTATTTTAATCAATTATTTATGTGTATTGAAAGAGAGGCCGTTGGTTCATATGCTGAAAATCAAAAAATTGCTGCCGTACGAAAAGTCTATCATAAAGGTATTATGATACCGATGATTAGTGTAGAATTATTATGGAAAGATTATTGTTCATATGAAATGGTAAGTTATATAAGTTAATTAAACAAATAAATCTATTTATTATCTTAGGGTATAAATCCCGCATTAGGTAAAAATATGATTGAAAGTCGTTCACGAGATTTTCTTAATGTTAAACGAGTTACAAAAGAATTAGAAACATTGACACGTGCAATCGATCGAAATAATCCATGTATGCCACCAACATCACCACAATCAACTGATGAAATTAAACAATTAGCAGCATGGAGAAAATTTATTGCATGGGAACGTTCAAATCCATTGAAAACTGAAGATATTTTACTTGTTGCACGTCGAGTTGTTCTTGCTTATGAACAATGTCTTCTTTGTCTTGGATATCATGCTGATCTTTGGTATGTATTATATTCAAAACCAATGATTAAAAATGTGAAAGAATTGATTGATATTTATTGATTTGATATTAGAATATGCAGGGAGTAGGGGGATAACATCCATCCCGTTTCTGTCTCGAGTAATGAATTATGCCTCTGAGGATATAGTCTAAAAATGTATATGAACCAAGTAGCAACCCGTACTTCAACTGGCTATGAAATTTATTTTCTTGGTTGTGTATTCAAACGACGGGATTACTATATTCATTTTAAATTTTTAGTTTTCGAAATGATTGATTCCAAAAAAAAAAAATACTTTAAATCGTTGTTTATTCGTGTTTTTGAGGAATGAATATTTTTAAAAGTCTCGTACATTATACCAAGAGAGAGAGTGTTTATTATGATGTTACTGTTAAGTAACAAAAAATATACAATCGATGAATGGAACTGCCAAAGCGATATTCGATCGATTATGATGAGTAGTAATCATAGCTTAAAACATGGCATATTTCTACTGACTATAAGGCCTTGTCACAGACAAAATCTCAGTTCGAAATTCAAGTTCTCCACAATTCTATACAAAATCGAGTAAAACACTAATAATTCACCAAATGACAAAAGTTTCAGTGTACAACGTTCTCTCATGTTTTTTTTTTTTATCTGAATAGATATTGTCCGTGTGCTACTGACAAGCTTAATAGATACCATTTTGAAAAACAAAATCATTCGAAGATACTGAGCAGAAAATTAAATCAAAATATTTTCTTTTTTTTTTAATTTTATTTCATCAGGTATGAAGCTTGTGCTTATTTGGAACAAACATCTCGTACATATTCCGAACGAGGTGATGCACATTTAACAAAACGTTTTCTTGATGAAGCATCTACATTATATGAACGTGCAATTCAAACATATATGCGTTCAAATATGCTTATTCATTTTGCTTATGCTGATTTTGAAGAACATCGTTTAAATATAGATAAAGCTCGTGCAATTTATAATCGTTTACTTGATGTAAATGAAGCTAATTTAAAAGATCCAACATTAGCTTATATACAAGCAATGCGTTTTGAACGACGTACTGATGGAATAAAATCTGCACGAACTATATTTAAACGTGCACGTGAAGATTCACGTATAAATCATCAAATATATGTTGCAGCTGCATTAATGGAATATTATTGTACAAAAGATAATAATATTGCATTTAATATATTTAATCTTGGTTTAAAAAAATATAGTCAAAATGTTGATTATATATTAGCTTATATTGATTATATGACACATTTAAATGAAGATCATAATGCACGTGTACTATTTGAACGTGTTTTATCATTAGATAATCCAATATCAAAACAATCACAATTACCTATATGGAATGAATTTCTTAAATTTGAATCACAAGTTGGAGATTTACAATCAATAAAAAAAGTTGAAAAACGTCGTTTAGCTATTTATTCTGATTTAAATGAATTAGAATATCGAGAAACATTATTACTTATTGATAGATATAAATTTCTTAATTTATTACCATGTTCAAATGATGAACTTAAATTATTAGGTTATAATGATACATTTTCAAGAACTTCATCATCATTATTAGCTACTAGTCCTATTATAAATGGTACAGCTATATTAGAACAAGCTGCACGTGATAGACGTGCACTTTTACCTCGACCAGATATAAAACATTTAATGCCATTTCGTCCAACAAGAAATCCATTACCAGGTAGTCATCCAACACCTGGTGGAATTTTTCCATTACCAGATACAGCACTTTATCTTGTTAAAGTTCTTCCCCCACCAAGAAATTTTGAAGTATATTTAATGATTTGAAAATATTAATTGATTTTCTTGTTTATTATAATAGGGTCCATTTGTTATTATCGATGAATTAATGGATCGTGTTGCTCGTATTGTTATACCAGATAGTAAGTTATGATAATGAAAAGAACTTAATCGGAAATATTTAGTATATATAAAATAATCTCAAAGACTTATGTTAGAAAATCTACAGTAATAAGAAAGTATTCTAGACGAATGTAACATTATGGAGTAGAAGTAAAACTTCTAGGATGAGGATTTTTAACAGGTTTGCAAAATAACTTTTCACGGACATTTTTTTTTTCTATTCTGTAAGGATTTTTGATAATTATCAATTGCTCCTGTTAGAGTTCGGCGGTTCTGATGTGACTTCAAAAATATCACGTGAAATCGAAATTGTTAAATCATCAGATAGGAAAATTTTAAATCTAATGGGTGGACCAAAAAGAACTGCTCTCTCAGCATTTTTAAGATTTCTCCTCTATTATCTCCGTGATTAAAGCTCTGTTTATCATCAAAAGATAGCGCTTGAAATTCTCTATAAAATCATATATACTCAGACCACCAAACAGTTCCAAATATATTTGAAAAAAATCCGAAAACAAAAGACATACACACCGCTGTAAAATATAAATAACGGATGTCCCATAATAAATGACTACACTTTGCACTTCATATTTTAATCTATAAATATGTTTTATTAAAAAAAAAATATACCACAAAATGCAGCGTGAAAAGTTCTACAAGCTACAAATTAAAGTTTATTTTAATAAAAATATTTTTCGTTTTGAAAAAAAGCAAAACTCTGTGCGACCAACTTTCGCCGTTGTGAAAACCGATCGCACAGATTTTGGAGTTTTTTTGAACATAAAAAGTACACAAATAAAATAAGCTGTTCTTTGTAAATTGTAGAACTTTTCATGCTGCATCTTGTGGTATACTTTGTTTTTCTAATACTATGTATTTATAGATTAAAATATGAAATGCAAAGTGTAGCCATTTATTATGGGACACCCGTTATTTATATTTTACAACGGTGTGTATGTCTTTTGTTTACGAATTTTTTCAAATATATCTAAAACTGTTTTGGGGATCTGGGTATGTATGGTTTTGTAGAGAATTTCAAGCGCTATCTTTTGACGATAAACAGAGCTTTAATCACAGAGATAATAGAGGAGAAATCTTTAAAATGCTGAGAGGGTAGTTCTTTTTGACCCACCAGTTATTTTGAGAAAATTCCACTAAAAATGAAGATTTCTCTATCTATGTGATGATTTAACGGTTCCGTGATATGAAGATGAAGGTTGTTTATATATCGATTTTGTAGAAAAAAATCTACTATTTATGTCATCTTTTCGCCTGAGAAAAAATATCTAAATTATTGACCGAGGAAAGATCCTTGACTGATCTACATTAGTTTTCCTGATATTCTGCGTAAATGTGGCAAATCTTACTCTAACAGAATTTGAGCTGATATCGCTCTATTCGATTAATATAAATATTTTGACTCCTTTATTAAGAGAGAAATCATATCATTCACATCCGACAGATCGACCAATCTGAAATCCGTACCGATACCGAACCTAATCTCTACCGCCACATGCACCCAAAAAATAAACGGCCTGCATAAGTTAGGTACATTACCTCATCAGTTATAAAAAAAAAATTATATTTGATATACAAATAGAAATGATGATTGATTTTTTTTTGTAGACTTTGAACCCGTACGTGTAAGTGTTCAAGGTGAAGTAATTCGTGATCTTGACACAAATAATGGCCCATCGAGTCGAAAAACTGAACATGCTGATAGTGATGAGGAAGATCAATCATTACAATCAAATTTGAATGGACGTGGAGTAATGAATTTATATCAACAACGACAACAAAAACGTGTCAAACTGACAGCAACAGCAATTAATGCTGATCAACCATAACTTCCGGTGCTTACTTGGTTTCATTGTTTCATGTTTTTTTTCCTTTTTGTGATTTCTTTTCTCTTTCTTTCTTTGTCATGTTCATGCTGAACACTTGTTTATGTAAATAAGAAATGATCATTTGTTGAAGTAAACTTGAACATGAGGATTAAATATTCTCTTTTTGTTTTCTTTTTCTTTCTTTTTTTTTTTAACCAAGAAGAAAATTTGATAGACAAAAAGACAAGGAATTTATCAATGAAGGTTATTATTTCTATTTAAAATTATTTTATAATCAAATTATTTTAGATGTCTTGTTTTGAAGATCTCTCAGGTGAAATTTTAATGGCCATATTCGAATATATGAATGTTGAAGATGTTTGGACAATATTTTTTAATATGAATTCAAGATTAAATTCACTTGTATTTGATTCTCGTCTTCGATTAGCAGCTGATGTATCAAAAATTGAAAAATTAAATTTTGATCAATTTTGTTTATCATTAATAAATACAAATTTTAGTAATATATTTACATTAATATTATCAAATCATTATAATCGTTATCCACAAATTCGATTATTTCTTTCTCAAACAAATTTTACTATATTTCAATCATTACATGCATTAACATTAATTGATATTAGTCATGATGAATTAATTGAAATAGCTAAACAACTTAAAGAATTACCATTTTTAAATTATTTTCATATTAATACACATGAAATTTTTCGTGATAAAGAATTATCAAATGTTACACATGCATTACTTAATCAATCAAATATTCGATTTTCAATACTTCGTTTTCATGAAGTAAATATAAAATGAAAAGAATGGCTTGAGTGCTTGTTCAGCTTTGAGCACAGAAAGTAACGCTTAAGAGATCAATTAGCTTCTCTTAGTAATAGAAATAATAGAACATGTATTCGACAGTTTCAGAAATAGCTTGACCAGACAAGATCGAAACTATTTGATGAAATATGAATGACAGATAGCCTTGGATTAAAAGAAATAATCTATGTCAACTGATAACCTAGAGACTTGATGACGTATAATGTTTCGCTGTTGAAATGTCTTAGAATGAAATTTTTATATTTTTTTTTTGCTTTGAGTAATAGTTAACCTCAATTGATAAAATAAATATAATACATAAAGTTGTTCTTAGTTTATCATGGACATGTAAAAGATTCTAGAGAAGATTTGATTATTAAACAATATTTATCCAGTATTTTTTCATAGTCTTATCCTTCTCTATTTTCGAGGCATTTTAAAAACATGCATCATTATTCAGTCTTCACGTGTAATTTGAACTGCTCCATCATAAGAAGAACAACTACGTATTATACTAAGTATTCTCAATGCATATCTAAAAGGACATGACTCGATTACATTCTTATGAATACATAATATTATATTGAATCTTATTGAAGTTCGGATAAACGTCAGATAATCAACAAGGATTCCTATGCACTTTTGAATGTTCTATTCATATGAATAATAGTTGCGTGTAACCGATGGATATAAATAGGACATGAGTGGTTTCATCTGATATGGTTTATTTAACTGGTTGAAGTCCGAATGTATTTGTCAACGATGAAAACTAAAATATATACTACTGATGTAAATTATAGATAGGACAAAATTTTCTAGACATGTGAAACATTATTGGATATACCTAAACAACATATGTGGTAGAGTAAATTTTTTTCGAGAAATCGATATATGAACTAAAGTTTCAACGTTTAATTTTAGATTTCAATAGTTAAAATATGAAAATGTTCGTGCAAAGTTACCTTTTTAAAAGATCTCATCATATTTCTCTCAAGCAAAAGCTACCAGAATATATTTAAAAAAAAACGAACATAAAACTCTTGTTCTAATCGATAGTGTTGCATCTGTCTAGAGCAAAAATAAGTAAATATTTTGTCTAGAAATTTTCGTTCGACTTATGATTAATGTATTCAGCACAACTAATATAATATTAGATTGTAGAACACGATAGATGTTGATATTATTATTCAGATTTTTATTTGATGATGTTCATTTCATTGAACAAAAATTAGATTGAAAGATAATAATAAATCTTATACGTGACATATCTATTTAATTTTGTTAGAAACTTCAATGGCATGAAACGGAAACAATCTCATCATGTAATACCGAAGTTCTTTCTTTGGATTTTATTAATGCTGATCGTCTCTTTTCTCTTTTACCAAATTGTCCACGACTTCGTTCACTTTCTGTTACACTTGATCCTCGTAGTAGTTTACCAAAATCAACAACAGAAAGTATAATTTCCTCATTTACATTCAATGTATTTACTCAAATAACATGTCTTCGTTTATGTTTTCGTCCATTTGATGTATCAACTCTTGATCGTTTATTAAATTCTGTACCTTCCGTAAGACGTTGTTCCATAGAAACTCTCGTTTATAGTACTGATTATATACGCTCACCATTTTGGACATTACTTTTACAACAATTACCATTATTAGAACGTATACGTTTAATAGTACGTGGTTGGTTTGTTTTAAAAGCAAGTAATAACCATAATGATGAAAAATTTGATGAAACAAGTGTGATTGATAGTTATCGTTTTGATCAATATTGGCTTGATCGAACATATAAACGTATATTTAATTGTCATATTGAATCTTCGACAGCTGTACTAGAAATTCGATGAATTTATTATTTTTCTCTTGTTGTATAGTTCGTTTTCTTTTTAAATCATTTACATTGTGATAACATTTTGTTCAGGTTCACGTTCTTTTTTTTAATTGACGATACAATTTATTTGTATCTTTGTTTTCTTTTTTGAACATAATAAATTTGTTCATTTTTTATTTTGACTTATATTGACAATGTGAATATTTGAACGAACCATATATAAAATAAAATTTCTTTAATCTGGACGTTTTAAATATGTTTATTCTATGGGACATATCATAAATTAAAGAAAAAGTTTCAGAATAATCGATAATTTGAAATTTTTTAGACAAGATATTTGTTACTTTCGATTCTTTGGAAAGTATTTCAGACGAGCTAACACAACTATAGACCGCGGCTAGAATTTGAATATGAACTTAGAAAATTCGTGTCTATATTCGTTCAAGCGTAGTGAAGAATTTTTTGAGAGGAATTATTTTTAATGATAAATCAATGGATTTTTTTGTTTGTCCTATAAGTCCCTTTTCGAATATGCTACAGATTGTTGGAGTTAATTTTTTTGTTAAGTAAACAATTCGTAATGAAATATCATATTGAATTCATCAAAACTAATTTTTTTAGTTTTTCAAAAAAGTAGTTCAACCCTATCGAACAACGACTGAGATAAAAATATCTGAGCACATATTTCAAAAAGAACACAAAATCCTGGTTCTAACTCATAGCTTTTAATCTTTTAGAAATACTGTCTAACATGTTAAAAGTAAACAAATATTTTGTCTAAAAGGTTTTCATTTAAATATTTACAAATCCAATATATTTTCAACAGAATAAAAAAAATTTCCTTTGCTTCATAAAGTCTTCTATACATATGTTCATTTAAAATAGGTTAAAGTAGCAATCGAGACTGTAAAGTTTCACTGTATGAATGATATTAAGTTTATTATAAAAATAATAATTCCACAAAGGAAGTCCCCCATTTTCCATAGGCTATTCCTCCCCGCTTGTTTTTTTTCTTTTGAATATTTTTTAATTGGGATTCATATGAGGATATTGAAGCACTAAACCGAATCGTGGACATTCTAGTTTTGGCCAAAAAAATCAATACTTTAGGGTAAGGACCGTTATCATCAATTAATTGACCCTGATGCTACATGACATTTTGTATTTCATCAACCGTTATATCAGCAACTACAAAAATTGCACTGCATATAGAACTAATGGTCCTGTATAAAATAAAAATAAAATCATATTAGACAATTGATTTATTAATGAGTACGGTCTATCATAAAGGAGTACTGAGTTATGCACTGATTTTGCAGTGCATCGACAAAATTATTTTGACTACAACTTGATAAAGATTCATTATTGAAAGGTAAATTTTATACTATTGATGGAGCTTCATACAAGCTATCAAAACAATAAAAAAAACTTTGAAAAAAATCACGATTCTTAAATTGATTATTCCAACTTTAGGAGAAAGACAGCAAAGCAATACGAGATAGTAAAAAAAACAGCTATTATTTTTATATTTTGACATGAAAACAAGGTTTCTCTTGAAAATAACCATCGTTTTCGGAATCAGCGTATCAAAATATATCACTAACTCTATAATTCATCTAAAATTTTTTTGTCATCGAAATTTTCACTTGTATGGGAGTACATCCTAAAATTTTATTCATAAAAGGCTGAGGGGGAGTAGGGTGAAAATTTTTCATGAGAAAACATTTTGGACGAAATATAGAGTTAGTGGTATATTTTGATACGCTGATTCCGAAAACGATGGTTATTTTAAAGAGAAACCTTGTTTTCATGTCAAAACATTAAAATAATAGCTGTTTTTTTTT